CCTGAAGCCAGAGGGATGAATAGGTGCTAAGCCGGGATAAAGGAGGACATTCTGCAGAGAGGGCGCAGCAAGGCCTTGATGTTTGTGCTGCCAACCTGCTCAGGCCCAGGGCTCGTCTCTCCTTTTCTGCCCCCTCCAGCAGCTGGAGAGAACTCAGCACCTTCCCTTGGAAACGCTGGTCCCTGAACTCTGTAATAGTGACAGGCGCTGAGCTCTGCCCTCAGCTCTTACCCCGCCAGCGGACTCCCTCCCACCCTCCCGCCAGGGATCCTATCCCTTCCTCCTCCTACTCAAACCAAACTAGCCTGGTTGGGAGACTGCTCTGTGGCCTCCCCACACGCACAGATCTGAGGTCAGCCAAGGCCAGAAAGCGTGGTGGCAACAGGGGAGAATGGTCCCAGTTGGTGAGTTGGAGCCCAGCTGCCACAGGTCCCTCTGCAGGGATTTGGATGAACTGAGCTGGGGTAAAAGGGGGCACTGCTGAGGTAGGTTTAGGAAGAGCAATTCAAATCAACATTAATTACGCGAGTCTGCCATTCTGATCAATGCGATATAATTCAACCGTCATTTACTAATAACAGGTCAAATCCTGTGTGAGTCTGTGGAAGAAGGTGGGACACAAATGAACATTTCCTGGGGCATCTCCTGCCTGGAGTAGGATTTTTTTCGGAGTAGGATTTTTATCAGAGTTCCTGAAATCCTAACCAGAGGCCATCTCCTGAGCTGTGGATCCAGTGTACATTTCTACTGACCCCAGAGCCCTCTGATATTCCATAGCATCTCTGAATTCATTTATCATTTAACCTGTTGGGACAGGATTGTGTTTCACTGTGTGGTATGTGTCTAAGGTCACACGGCTAATGCAGCACTGAAACCAGTAGCCAAGAGAGCCCCATTCTTCAGCCTAGGGGTCTGCTCTGTAGTTTACTATAAATCTATGAGATGCATTACCTAAGTAGTTATCTTATCTCCACTTACAGATGGGGTGGAAAAGCCCAGCAGAGTCTTTCCCAAGAGCCCAGGGCTAGTAGAAGCTCAGCTCCCCAGAGCTCTTAACATTTCCTCAAATGAAGAATGGTTCTCTCCCCTCAGAGATTAGGGTCCTCTGGTACCAACCAGGAAATGCTACTAAGAAATCTTTCTTAGTTGTAAAAAGGACAACTAAACCACAGAAATGTGGGCACTAAAGAAGGAAAGAAGTTGTGCAAAAGTCAGCATCATGCAGGTGAGAGAATGTTTAAGAATGATCAGTATTTAGAAGTTAGTGGGTACAGGTTCAAAATAGTTCTTGTAAATGTCCAGCCACTGGAAAACTTTCAAAATGCCAGGTAGCCAATGGTTTCTAGATGAAAATATTTTAAAAATGCAATAAAAACCCTCTCTCACTTCTGATAACATCTCACTTGACTGAACAAAATAACGAAAAGCCCTCTGTACCACACTGGACTCAATTCCTGGATATCTGTAAATACCAGAGCACAGAGCTTGACTAACAAACAACCATTAGACATGGTGCCCACCGTGTGTGTTTAGAGAACCGGCGTGTGTGGGAAAGACCCAAATGTCTGGTCCTCAGGTCACTGCCTTTGGACCTGAAAATCACCAGAAGCAGGAAGTAGGAAGGCAGGACTGATGAGGGAGGGAGCTGAATGTCACTAGATTAAGGGTAAAGTTCTGCTATCTGTGAAGAACCCAAGTTTTCTTTTTCCAAGATCAAGGCAGGAATGGAGAGAGCACAAGCCTTTGAGTTGAAAGACCCAGACTGGAGTTCTAACTCAGCCCTGGCCGTGTCCTCAGGAGCTGACACCTTCTCAGGGAAATGCACAGATCCTCGGGGAACGACGCTCCACCAACTTCAGGAGGGTAAGGCGAACAGGCGGTAAGATATTTGGGAAAACGTTTCACAGCTTTCTAGTGCCACACAGGTGATGAGGTTTATCGTGAGAAAAGGTGCCAAGACGGTACGTGTGTTGTTACTCACAATTCTTTTGTTTATAAGTACAGATGAGTTTAGACAAAAAGAAGTCTTCGGTTCAGACGTCAGGGGACAGTAGTTATAACAGCTGATCGCAAACATCCCATTTCTCTTCCTTCATGGTACACGGAAGGACTGACGTTCTCTGCCCTCTTTAAAGCCAGGTGTGACCACGTGACTGGCCTGTCCCTTCTGGGCAGAACTTCAAGTGCAAGACTGTGACCCCCCATATTCTCTCATCCTGCCTCGGTGACAGGGGAGGCGTGTGTTGAGATGAAGCTTCCCTGTCCCTGGTCCCTTAGTAAGCATGGTGAGCAGAGCACTTGTCCCTTTGCCCCCAACCTGCACTGACTGTTGTAGCAAAAATAAACTTCAGTTGTATAAAAACCACTGCAATCTTGGGATTGTTGGTTACTACAGCATAACCTTGCATTGACTACATTTTCTTATTTTCTGTATTCCTGACGCTTAGGCATTTGGGGCCTTGACCCTGAAGAGACTGACCTCCTAGGGCTAGCTAACTCCTAGAGATAGCAAACAGCTCCTGTGAGAACACACCTTTGATACACAAACCAACCAATCTACAGCCACGGCCCCAACTATGTCTTCTATCAAACGCACACCCAAGCCAGTATTCTCCCTGCCCTGAATCACCCCAGGACCAGGTACTGGACAGCTAGGGGCCAAACCTGTAGCCCAGACCTGCCAAAATTATCCAAACTAGTCAACCCTATGCTTACCCAGCGTACCTACTCTGCCTCGCCCATTCCTTCCTGCGAAAACCCCAAGAAAGGCTCTGGGCCATGCTATTCCCTGGCCCTCCGCGCCTCCTGACCGACCCCGGTCCCCCTCCATGTGGCACTGCAAGGTGTTCCATGCCTCCTGCTTCTACAGATATGTGAGGAGAAACTTCTTTATGATCATCATGTTTGTGCCTGCATGTCTCATCATTCCTGATAAAAATAAATCCCAGTCCATTTTAACTCAAATCTGACCCCTCCTGATGGATACGCTAGGAGATTTGGGACTGGCATCAGACACACTGGGTTTTCTTACCCTCTTCCCAACCTCTGGGTTCTGCTTCACTCCGAGATAGCCTCTCCTACTGCAGATGGGCTTTCGTGTGAGGAAGGCGGGCCCGAGCATCCCCTGCTTCACTATCAGAACCGCTGCCGATGCCGGCAGAACACTCACAGGGAAAGATCAGTTTGGCCCAGTTTGAGTCAGGTACAATCATGGGACAATCTCTGTGGGACACGGACATCGGTCAGGATTGAGCCATCCACTCACCCCTGTGCCTGGGGGGGTGGACAGTGCTGGACAGCCACCACTGAGACCTATCATCGCCCTTCTGTGAATGGGGTTTGGACACCCAAACCTTGCCTCACCCTAAGGAAAGACGTTTGCAGGCAGCTGCTCATTACACAAAGTACTTCTGGGAGACCAGACAAGCACTGAATGAAGGAACTTCATTTGAGGTAGAAGCTAGGAGGTTTTTTCTGAGATAGGGTCAAGCCAACCCATTAACATGGTATCTACACACCATCCACCCTTGCCAATAGTAGGAGAACTACCCACCTAAATGAGCACGTGACGTGAAGGGCAGCGAACATTCATCAGTGTTATTTCCTGAATGCCCTCTATGTGTCATGCAACCAGATGATTCTGTTCACGTGGATCTGGCTAAAGGAATGTTCAACCATCCAGACACCCATGCCAGGCTTCCTGCTTCTAGTCAGTTTCTTATGGAATGCCATGGGAAGCCCAGCGAATGGGCTTTTGGAGATCTCCATCTGTGCGTCACAGAGAATGGAAGGAAAAGAGAGAGGGATGAATTCACGACAAGGCTAAACTCAACCTGAGGGTGAGACCAGGGGCCCTTGACCTGGAGATAGTGGGCAGGTCTCCAGGGTCCATGAATGTGAAAACTCGAGTGTTCATTGCCTACAGAAGGGATCCATGGCTTCCATCAGATTCTCAGTGGTTATGGCTCCAAACAGGTAAAGAACTGCCGTTTCGACAGTAGGTAGCTCAGCTTCCAGGAGACGGCAGACGGCAGACGGAGAGGAGCCTGGGGTTTTTTCTTGACTCCTCTAGCGTTTCACTGGGGGGATGGCGGGGAAAAGTAAGATTTCTCATCTCTACTTCAGTTCCAGTATTTTCCAAATGGAGCTAAAATCACAGAATGCCAAGTCCCCTGCAGAGTCCTGTGTGGTAGAGAAATCTGGGCCCAAGTCCTGATGAGGTCATTTACTAGCAGGGACTTCACCTTGATGAGCTGATTCCCTCGTTGATAAAGGGAGGATAATAACATTCACAGTCACTCCAACCCCTTTACAGTAGATGAAGCAATGAATGCAGAGAGCTTTCTACTTTGCTTCCCATTAGTAACCGAAGCCAGCATCATCCAGTCCTTCCTATTTGCCGTAACAGTGCGCAGTGCTTTTAGGTACATTATATCACTCAGTCTTCACAAAAGCGCTGTAGAGTAGGTATGATTATTATTCCCATTTAATTAAAACAAAACAAAACAAACCTTGGGGTGGGCAGGAACTGAGCTCAAGAGCATCCTCTTAGCCCGAAGTCCTGCCTCCTCCACCCACCCTCCCGCCCCGTCCACACACCCCACCTGAGAAGCCGCCAAACAATGCGCTCAGAGCAGGCAGGCTCTTGCCACTGGGTGATCTGGAGGAGGAAGGGGGAACACCTTACACTGAGCCCCCGGGACTTGTCAGGCCCGTGACAGACGGTTCCGTCTGGTTAAACTCCTCGAAGAGCGCTTTCATCACAGCTCTCGCGACAAGCACCTGCTGATGGCGGCAGTGCTTGCTTTTGCTCTACGTGACGGACGGATACATGGAAGGTGGGCCGGTTCACAGGCCCGGTTTCAGGTCATCCCGTGCTGACGAGCTGAGCTAGGAACGAGGAAGCTGGGGTCGCCTTTACAAACGAGAGGCAGCACGGGCCTAAGGAAACGACTCGGGCTAAGGACAGAAGCTACAGAAGCATGACCGGAATCATGAAGTTTTTAGAACTGTTATTTATTTCCAATCACTCCTACTTCTTCACCCTGAGTGGCTGCATTACATCAAGGGGCCTCTGGCTCCAATGAGAAGGAAATGAGTTCCCATTTCAGACTTCCTTCGCTGCCAGGTGGTCCAGCAGGGCTGAGGGAGCTCGGGCAGGCTCTGGGCTCAGGGCAGGCAGGCATGCAGAGGGGGCCCTGCCCTGTGGGATCCGCCTGGCTTCTCTGACAGAGAAGCAGAACTGCTGGTGTCACCCACCTGACTCCCTGCGTGCATTCCAGAGCTGGAAATGAGCTCATCAGAGCGAAAGGAACTTATTAAGACGAGCACCACAATTTGGGCCTGAATTTTCCAATCAGCCAGACGGAGGCGGCTGACCAAGCAAACGCTCCCTCCTGCTGCCATGGGGTCATTAAGTCCCACACAGGAGCCTCGCGAGATCAGCAGCTTCTGCTCCATCTTTGGAAAGAGGAAAAAGCAGCGCGGGGGCCTGGCTGCTTCTGCCTGGTCCAACCGCGCCTTCTGGATAGCAGCCCCCATGTCCCCACCGCTGCCTGCTGCGAGGATGGCGTGTGCTGGGGGCCGGCTGGCCGCGTCACTTGCTGGCCACAGCGGAGAGCTGGTCCCGGATACGGCCCAGCCCGTCTAACATCGTGTCCAGGGTCTCCTTACTCAGCTCCACAGTGACAGCTGACACAGAGGGCTGCTCCCCACACAGACTGGGATCTTCCTGGATCTGAAAAGAGAACACTGCCCCAAAGTCAGAGCTGCCTCTCTTCGACCTGCAGGCCCCACCCCGTTCTGGTGAAGCTCAGAAGAGAGGCTCTTTGCTCAGAGTCACAGAGAGTCGCAGCCCTGGAGTCACTCAGCAACTGGGGACAGGGAGGGAGCTGTCTCAGGGGCTCCGGGCAGGGGTCGGAGAAGCCAGGCTCACTCACCCTCCCTCCCCCAACTCTCTCTGGGCACTCGAGTGAGGAAACATCCTGGGTTCATGCTGGTACTTTAGGCCGTGGGCTCTAGGGGTATGTAAGAATCCTCCAGGATGTAGGAAAAATATTACAGCCTCTAGTTATATGTATTTGTATCTTTTTTTTTTTTTTAAAGTAAACCTCAGTAATAGTTAAAAACTTAGTTGTTAGAGGCACCCTTGCTCTTTCATTTTCTTACAGCTGTTGAGTTTCTGGGTGTCTGGTGGTTAAGTAAATACAGCATTATGCTACCTAGTTTTAACTAAACAAACCCTAAAAATGGGTATGTGGCTTAAAAAGACTCCTGAAAATAACTGTGAAGATAACACCAATGAAGAATGTGAACAATAAGATGAAGAACTGATACTTCTCCAACTGCTAATAGGAGCCCTTGTTCAGCACAGTACAAATGGCAAAAGCCTAAGATTGGACAGGAATTTGGAAAAGTATACCACAGTTCTCAAGAAGGCAACTGGAAATCTGAGTGCGTGCTTCTATTGTTAAAGCCAAACCTTCCTGTAAGTGTCTAAGACAACCTTTAGGTGTCAGCAAATTATTTTGTAAATTTATATTTTGTGTTTGTCTTGTTTTAAAATTTCTAGTTTCGGTATATGTTTTATTATGACTGTACTACGTTAATACACATATACTTTCTAAATAAACACTGCATTTGGGGGTGCTAAATTTTTTTTATTTATGGGGTTGGAGATCCTAAAACTTGGAGTCTGGCATTTTTGCTGGCCCGCAGGGGCGCCGAGTCCCTGCTGCCCCTCCTTTCCTTCTAGTGAGCATGACAGTGGATGTACCTTCATCTGGAGCAGGCAGGTAGGGACGGCCATGCGGCTGATGCTGTCTGAGGAGGTTTTGATGTCCACCCTCCAGTCCAGGTCGACCAGGCGCGGCAGAGAGACTGTGTGGGGACAGCTCGGCTCAGTGCTCACGCCACCTGCGTACTAAGCCTTTCCTCGACGACAGGCAGCTCCAAGGGCTGCACGTGGGTACGCATGTGATCCACACAGCAAGCCTCTGAGGGAGGGAGACAGACAGGGCCCAAGACCCCACAGCAAGCCCCAGGCCTTCCTCACCACTGATCGTGGCCCCTGCACTTAGTGCAGATTCGTGGTGGTCAGCACCTCCAGCTTCTGCCTGAACACCCAACCCTCCAGATGTCCAGACAGAATGAGGAATGACGCAGGTGGAGAAGAGGAGGCTGTGGCTGGAGTCTTAGGCAATGTGTACCTCTGAGAATAGCGGAGAGAGCTTTTGTTTGAGAGACACACAGACTTGGCTTGAATGTGTGTTCTACCACCTGTCTAACCTCTGAGCCTCTGTTTGCTCACCTGTAAAATGGGGATGATCTCAGCCTAGCTCACAGGGCTGCTGGGAGGACTAAATGAGTTAATGCAGGTAGAGTCTGTGGCACTGTGACCGGCTCAGAGTGAGTTTAGTGACTGTTTATCAAACACCCACTTTTATTCAATCTTCCACACTAATTTCAATTATGGTTAATTTGTTTTCCAATGGAAACATAGTTATTTTAAGTACTTCACTTTCTGCTTAGGATATTTGTTTGTTTTTTAACAACATGCCTCTATTATACTAGGTTTATAACCAGAAAAGAAATTAAAAAGTGGAATTAAAAAGAAATACATAACAAACACTACTCGGTTTGGGATTAGGTTAATTCACTTTGACTTTAGTTAAAAACTCTGGTAGATTTAGGGCTGGGGCTGGGGAGGAGGGGGAAGGAGGAAGAGGCAGGTTTCTTGGTACTCACTCTGATTTGTTTGGGCTTCAGCTCTCCAAGTAGATCTGTTTAAGAGGGAAAGATAAGAAAAATATAATGGGAAAGGGATGCGAATTGAGTCTTCTGATAGTGAGGCCCATGGGCCTGGGCCTCTGCTCCTCTGTGATCTTAAAACCTATAATCACCTCCTGACAGGAAAGGACCACAGAAACGCCTCCCTCCAAGGAGCAGTTTTTTGTTTGCTTGTTTTACGAAACTGAGTGATGTTAAGGCCATAGATGCTGTTAGTTTTCATGGCTTAGGAAAAGCAAGAAAAGGCTAAATGCACTGTAACTGTGCTATTGTTCTCAGAGACAAAGCAGAAAAGGTCAACTTATCCTCTTTTTACTGAGCATCTACTATGCAAAGTATGGCATCTTACGCAAAACACATCTAACAGACGTGTCTGATGCTACACAAATCACGCCATAGTGAGATGCCGAGCAGAGTCATAGTAAACTGTGGTCACGCAAGAGAAAGTTTCTAAATAAACAACAAAACCCCTGGGAAGTAAGCATTATCAGTTATTATTATCAGAGAGGTCTCTTCAAGCCTGCTGCTAACCAGCAGTTAATCAGTTCTGCTTAAATTGTATGTATCTAAAAGGATTTGCTCAGCTAGAAAACGTACAGAAAATTCACAAAAGAATAAAAGTGACCAATAACATGAAAAAGATATTTGACATCACTAGTACCAAAGATATATAAACTGAAATGAGGTACCATTTGCCATTTGTGAAACTGGGAATAAAAAGTAACAAAACAAAACAAAACACCCTCGGTGCTGGTGATGGTGTCGGGAGAGTGGCACATCAACGTCCTCCTGGTGGAGGAGTAGCTGGTGCAATCTTTCCGATGGCAGACTTGATAAGAAAAAGCCAAAGCCTCAATACCACCATTTACCAGTGAGGAAATAAGGAAGCACAATGTGGGCAAAGGTTCCACAATAAACTGTTCACTGCAGTGAAAACTGCCAATAGCCTAAATGTCCAACCCTAAGGAATTTATTAACTAAATTACACATAATTTCTTCATGTAATGGAATATATTTACCCAATAAGAATGATACTGAAGGTAAATATTTATCGACCTGAAATATCATTAATGTTAATTCTATTAAATGAAAACAAGCAAGTTATAAAACGGCATGATCCCATTGTGTTAAAAACAAAAGCAAAACCAACCCTCTATGTGTAAATGGAAAAAATAAACCAGTCTCAAAAGGTTTCCCGTTAAGCAATTAACACTACTAACCCTCTGGGTGGTGGGATTACGGTTTCCTTCTTTTTGCTTACCTGTGCTTGCTTTTCAAGAATAAGCATATTTTTTCCAGAACAGGAATAAAAAATACAAGCATTACAAGAAACTCCCAAGAAATAAGCACTTACACGTGTTCTAGGATGATTTTTGTCAGCAGGTTTTTGAGGTTTTGGTGGAAATTTTCAGGAAAGAGTGCCAGAATCGCCTCGGCGGAGGACAGGTCACGGAACACCACTAGCCTGGTGAGGCGGTGCAGAGCCTGGAGCAGCTGCAGGACAGACGGGGAGCCCTGGGTGGTGAGGGGCAGGGGGACAGGGGACAGGGCTCTATCTCCCCTGCTGGGAAGAGGGCCTGCCACAAACCGCCACCGTCATTCAAGCTGAATCCCAGGAGTCCGGAGGCCCCTGGTGCAGACGCTGATGCTCACGTGCCTCGGCCCACCTCCAAGCTCACCTGCTGCTTAGAAGACATGTAGCTGCCTGACCGAGGATGCTGTTAACCTGCCAGAAAGTCTCTGCTTGTGGGCAAAGGGTTAATAAATCCCCTTCCTTGTGCACGGACTCTGACCTTAAGCTAACTTTCTAGCCTGTTCCCCTCTTAATGTGAGAGAAGCAGAAAGTCAGCGGTGTTACTAGACAACGCTGCACCAGTCCCCTGCCTCTGGACCGCGAGGGCTGCAGAAACACCGGGGCCCGCGGCTTGGGCTTCCCTGAGTGTGGCTGCGTGGTCTGTGCCAGCACCCAAAGCCGTGCTTACTGAATTGCTGCCAGAGGTCCTGGCTCCTGGGGAGTTGGGGCTTCTCATCCAGGCTGGCTGGACTGTCACGTCCTCACCCCTAGGCTGTCACCTGGTGGGGTGAGGCAGGCAAACAAACAGCTCCAGGCCGGCTGCGCGGACCTCCCTGTGGAAGGAATGCCTGGCGCTGCCCCGCTAGGACGCTGGATTCTACCCTGTGTCCTTCCAAGTGAATCTGCTGCTCAGCGGAACAGAACAGGACTCTCTGGAGGTAACTTTCTCCGCTTTAGGACTCACCCGGATGCCACGGGAGGTTGCTCAGCTCAGAAAAGCACAACCCAGAGGTGAGGGGACAGTAAGCCTCTACTGGTGAAGGGTGGGAGTGAGTGGATAAGTGCCCCACCCTCCCTGCCTTCCAGGGTGACAGTGCTGGGGCATTTACCCACGTGGTTTCTTACAGGATCCCAACTGCAGACCCCGCAGCACTGACCGCTCCCTAACATATCCTTCTCCTGGCTTGTCTCTCTTCCCGGTCTGATTTTCCTCACTCCCTCCTTTGTGCTTTCTGGAATCACCTCCCAAGTAACTACTAGCAGCCAGGTCGTTGCCTCGTGGTCTACTTTTGAGGAACCCAAACTAAGACTCCAACTCACTTTCATAACCTTGCTGCTGCCTCTCACTTCAATGAGCCAAGCTCCAGATTAAAAAATAACAACAACAACATAGGTCTGCTTGGATGAATTACTGTTTTGGAAACACCGTTGCCATGGAAAGATAAGGCTGTGAGTGCTACATAACCATCCTTGTCCTCTTGGCCACCTGAGATCAGGTGAGGTCCAGCAGTACATCCTCCCTAATCATACTCAGGCTTCAGAGTTTCTGCCCAGTCATCCCTGAAAAGTCTGCCTAAGCTATCCAGCCAACAATTCATCAGCACTATTAAGTTACAGGTTGGGAAAGAAAATCATAGCAAGGTTGGCTTTTGTCCATACTGTCTAGGTGAAAGTCTGAAAAGGAAATGGTCAGGAGCTCCGACTCTGGGTATACTTTTCCCATCCACGCCTCACTTATCACAAGGAAGTGAAGGTTCAAAGACAATGGCTTTTAAGTTCACTAACATTAAAAAAGAAAAAAAGCATCTATTTTAAGTTTGCTATAAGGTCAACAGACACTTCAGGGGAAAAATTCCCTTGGACGCGGCAACTGGGAAGTCAAGGAAGAGACTAATGAGCCGCGAAGCCAGCGGCCAGAGGTCATTTCTGACCCCACTTACTTGTTCTGCCTCCTCCTGGGTCACAGACAAGCTGGAACACGTAACATCCAAGAGCTTTTTCGAGCCAAGGGCTGAACTGGAAAAGCTCTCTTGGCACAGCTGTCTGACAACATCTTTCGAGGAGGCCTGGAAAAAAACAAAACGAGCAACAAACTCAGACTCTGAAAATACATTTTTTTTAGAACGTAATACTGTCTCCGTCATGGTGTGACACCTAAGAGGTGCATAGGACACTTCCAGTTCTGTGAAGATGACACAGATGTACTTTTCCCTATTTTTCCTGCTAAACACAACTACATTCCCTGGGCACTTTATACAAAACAAATGTAAGACGACTCTGAAAGGGGAGAAGAGAAGACAGACCTGCTACAGACCTCATGACAAAGGAATGACATGGCCATATTACGTTCTGAGCCTCTGGAACGTATTTAAATCTTCTATTTTAGCTGGCTTTCTCTGACACTGCTCAGGCGGCAGGACGAGCACGGTAGGGCTGGGGGTTGTTGCTTCATTACTACCAAATGGAGATAGAAGGCCAGCTCCCCTACTTGGTTCCTGCTCACACCCAAAAGTAGGGGTTCCTTGTAGCTACTGGGCAGGGGTGGAAGTGCTGGCTCCAGTAGTTTCCACTAATACTGTGGGGTGGTGGAACTTGTTACCAGCTCGTGGGGATGGAGGTCCAGCTCCCTACTTGGCCTCCTCTGACACCGCCCTGATGGGGGTGTTCGCTCTCAGACTTTGTTGACGTACAGTGGAGCGGGGACACACTTTTTTCAGTGGTGTTTTGGTGGAGTAGAGCAGTTATTGTCTAAAAGTCTTCTGTCTTCCTAAGCCGTCCCTTTCTTGGTCTTTGGCTAGAGAGAGCAAGTATTTGTTGGAGTTTGTTTTCACCCACTGGCGTTCTGGGTGGCCCTCTTCTTCAGCTCGAAGTCTGGGATATATGAACAAAAAGAAAAGTCACTGTCCGATGTGGCTGTAAATGTATATATATATGAGGAAATATTTAAGACAATTATATTATAAATAAGGGTAGGACTATAAAGGGATGACTTCACTTTAACTGGTAAAATGATGACACTGATATGTCACTGAGATTGTGATGTTATAGTAAATAAATGTAGTAAGTTGAACAACCACTATAAGAGTTATAAAGAGAAATGAATTTTAAAACACTATAGATAAATCAAAATGGAATTCCAGGGCTTCCCTGGTGGCGCAGTGGTTGACAGTCCGCCTGCCGATGCAGGGGACACGGGTTCGTGCGCTGGTCCGGGAAGATCCCACATGCCGCGGAGCGGCTGGGCCTGTGAGCCATGGCCGCTGAGCCTGCGCGTCTGGAGCCTGTGCTCCGCAACGGGAGAGGCCACACAGTGAGAGGCCCGCGTACCGCAAAAAAAAAAAAAAAAAAAAAAAAGGAATTCCAAAAAATGTTCAATTGATCAAATAACCCACAGGAAGGCAGTAAAAGAACAAAAAATAAATAAAGAACAAATAGAAAACAAAAAATAAAATGGCAAACTTAAGTTCTAATATTTCAATAATTACATTGGCTGTAAGTGGTCTAAATATACCAATTAAAAGAGAAATTGGCTGAGTGGATTAAAAAATATGACTCAGTTAAATGCTATCTACAAGAAACTCCCTTCAAACATAATGACAGAGACAGATTAAAAGGAAAAGAATGGAAAAAGATAGAGGATATTCTGAGCCAAAAAACAAACCTTAACAAACTTAAAAGAACTAAATCATACAGAGTGTGTTCTTAGTGATCACAATGGAATCACATTAGAAATCAATAAGATAACAAGAACATGTCCAAACATTTGGAAACTTAAACAACACACTTCTAAATAATCCACAGATTAAAAGGAAAGTTAAAAAAATTACCCTGAATGAATGAAAATGAAAAACAACACCAAAATTTGGGAATACGGCCAAGATGGTGCCGAGAGGGAAATTTACAGCATTAAATGCATATATTAGAAAAGAGGAAAAGTCTCAAATAAATAATCTAAGTCCTCATCTCAAGAACCTAGAAAAACAAGAGCATAATAAACCCAAAGGAATAAGGAAGGAAACAACAAAGGGCAGACACCAAAGAAACTGAAAACGTAAAAAAGGAGAAATCAATGGAACAAAGAACTAGTTCTTCGAAAATATCAATAAAATTAACAAACTTTTAGCAAGACTGACAAAATTAAAAAGAAAGGAGACACAAATTACCAATATCAGGAATGAAGCAGGGCATATCACTACAGACCCTGCAGATTTCAAAAAGAAAATAAGAGAATAACTACAAGCAACTCTGTACACACAAATGTGACAGTTTAAATGAAGTGGATCAATTTCTCGAAAAACACAAACTACCATAACTCTCCCAATATAAAATTGAAAACGTGAGTAGTGCTATAACTGTTAAGGAAATTGAATTTGTAATTTTAAAACCCCCAGAAAAGAAATCACCAGACCCAGATGGTTTCACCGGAGAATTCTACCACATTTAAAGAAAGAATTAACTAATTCTACACAATCTCTTCTAGAAAACAGAAAAGGAGGAAACACTTCCCAATTCATTTCACAAAGCTTGGATTACCCTGATACCAAAATCAGACAAAGACTGTATAAAACAAAACAAAAAAACAACTACAGACCAATGTCCCTCATAAAAATAGAGGCAAAGATCCTTAACAACATACTAACAAACAGAATTCAGCAATATATAAAAAGGATTATTCACTATAACTAGGTGGAATTTATTCCAGGGATGCTAGGCCAGTTCAGTATTTGAAAATCTATGTGATCCACCATATTACCAGGCTCAAGGAGAAAATCATTGGATATCAATCAATGCAGAAAGAGCAGTTGACAAAATTCAACATCCATTCTTGATGAAAACTCTCATAAAATTAGGAATAGAGGGGAACTTCCATAACTTGACATAGAGCATCTACCAAAAAACCTAGAGAAAACATACTTAATGATGAAAGACTAAAGTTGGGAACAAGGCAAGGATGTGGGCTCTCACCACTGTTATTCCACATTGTGCTGAAAATTCTAGCCACTGAAATAAGGCAAGAGAAAGAAATAAAAGGTCTGCAGATCAGAAAGGAAGAAATAAAACTGTCCCTATTTGCAGGGACATGACTGTCTATGAGAAAGTCCCAAGAAATGTACAAAAAAATTATTAGAATAAGTGAGTTCAGCAGTTTGCAGATCCAAGATACACCTACTAAAATCAGATGTATTTCTACACACTAGCAATGAACATGTGGACACTGGAATTAAAAGTACAATATCATTTGTAATTGCTCAAAAAAAAAGAGAGAAATACTTAGGTATAAATCTAACAAAACATGTACAGGACTTGTATACTGAAAATTATACAATACAGATAAAAGAAATCAAGGATCTAAATCAATGGGGAGACACATCATGATCATGGATTGGATGATCCAACACATTAAGACATCAATTTGCTCCTAAATGATGTACAGATTTAACCCAATTCCTATGAAAATCTCAGCAAGTTTTTTTTTTTAAGATACATCCAAGATCATTCTAAAATTTATACAGGAAGGCTAAGAAACTAGAATAGCTAAAACAATTCTGATAAAGAATGAAGTAGGAGGAATCCATCTATCTGATTTCAAGACATTATATAGCTACGATAATCAAGACTGTATGGTATTCTCAGAGGGATAAACAAATAGATCAATGGAACAAACTAAAGAACCCTGAAGTAGACCCAGTAAATATGCCCAATTGATTCTTGACAAAGTTGCAAAAGCAATTCAATGGAGGAAAGAAAGCCCTTTTCAACAAATGATATTGGAACAAGGGGACATTCACAGGCCAAAAAAAAAAAAAAAAATTCTCAAACTTTTCCACACACCTTATACAAAATTAATGTAAAATCAATCATGGACTTAAATGTTATATAAATGTAGGGACTTCCCTGGTGGCACAGTGTTAAGAATCCGCCTGCCAATGCAGGGGACACAGGTTAGAGCCCTGGTCTGGGAAGATCCCACATGCCGCAGAGCAACCAAGCCTGTGCACCACAACTACTGAGCCTGTGCTCTAGAGCCCGCAAGCCACAACTACTGAAGCCCGCGTGCCTAGAGCCCATGCTCCTTAACAAGAGAAGCCACCGTAATGAGAAGCCCACGCACCGCAAAGAAGAGCAGCCCCCACTCGCCGCAACTAGAGAAAGCCTGCGCGCAGCAACGAAGACCCAACGCAGCCAAAAATAAAATAAATAAATATTTTTTAAAATGTTATACAAATGTAAACTATAAAACTTTTAGATAAAAAGAGGGGAAAATTTGGAGAGCTATGGCTTCACAAAGAGTTCTTAAACTTTACACCAAAAGCGTAATTCATTAAAAAATCACAATTCATAAAAGGAAAAATTTTTGAAAAACTGTATTTCATCAAAATTAAAACATTTTTTGCTCTGCTAAAGCTCCTGTTATGGGTTGAACTGTGTCCCCCCCCTAAAAGTCATATATTGAAGTCATAACCCCCACTATCTGAAAATGTGATCTCATTTAGAAATAGGATTATTGCAGATATATTTATATGACTATAAATATAGTCATATAAAAATATATGACAAAAAATATAAAGATGAGGTCATAGGGTGGACCCTAATCCAATATGACCGATGTCCTAATTAAAAGGGATAGTTTAGACACAAAAATGCAAACAGGGAGAACTTCATATGAAGATCAATGCAGAGATCTACAAGCCAAGATACACTAAATATCACCAGAAACCACCAGAAGTTAGGAGACAGGCACAGAACAATTTGTCCCTCAAAGCCCTCAGAAGGAACCAACTTGGCTGACACCTTGATCTCAGACTTCTGGCCTCCAGAACTGGGACACAATACATTTCTGTTGTGTCAGCCACAAAGTCTGTAGTACTTTGTTACAGCAGACCTAGCAAATTAATACACCTTTGTGAAGAGGATGAAAAGACAGTTAAATACTAGGGAAGACTATGTGCAAACCACATATCTGACAAACGACCATTATCTAGAATATATAAAGAAATGCAAAAGTAAAAAAGCAAACAATGAAATTAGAATATGAGCAAAAGACATAAAGCAATATTCTGCTGAAGAAGATACACAGATGGTAAACAAGCACGCGAAAAGATGTCCAACATCATTAACCATTAGGGAACTCTGAATTAAAACCACAATGAGATATAAATACACACCTATCAGAATAGCTCAAATAAAATATAGTGATGCCAATAAATGCTGGCAAGGATGGGGAGAAACTGGACCGTTCGTGCATTGCTGTTGGGAATGTGAAGTAGTACAGCCGCTCTGGAAAACAGCTTGGCAGCTTCATAGAAACAACAAAACCCTAAACATGTAACCACCAAATGATCCAGAACTGTTCTCCTGGGCGTTCATTTCAGAGAAATAAAGACTTATGTTCATACAGAAATCTGTCTACAAATGTTTATAGCAGGTTTACTTGTAATAGCAAAAAACTGGAAACAATGTAGATGTCATACCATAGAATACCACTTAGCAATAAAAAGGAAAGAACTATTAAAACACATAACATGGCTCCAGAAAATTGGGCTCAATGAAAAAAGCCAGTCCCAAAAGTTTACATATTATATGATTTCACTTATATAACTTTTTTTTGGAATGTTTCATTGTTTGTGTATAGAAGCAACTGATTTTATTTTATAGTATTTATTTTTGTTTTTGGCTGTGTTGGGTCTTCGTTGCTGTGCGTGGACTTTTAGTTGCAGGGAGCGGGGTCTACTCTTCCTTGTGGTGCACGGGATTCTCACTGCGGTGGCTTCTCTTGTTGTGGAGCACGGGCTCTAGGTGCACGGGTTTCAGTAGTTGTGGTACGTGGGCTCAGGAGTTGTGGCTCGCAGGCTCTAGAGCACAGGCTCAGCAGTTGTGGTGCACGAGCTGAGGTGCTCTGCAGCATGTGGAATCTTCCCAGACCAGGGACTGAACCCGTGCCCCCTGCATTGGCAGGCGGATTCTTAACCACTGCGCCACTGGGGAAGTCCCTCACTTATATAACATTCTTGAAATGACAAAATTACAGAAATGAAGAACAAATTGGTGAATACCAGAGGTTACAAAAGGCGTGAGGGCAGAGGGGAAGGGGGTGTGGCTATAAAAGGGCAACATGAAGAACACTGTGGTGATGGAAAATGTTGTGAATCTTGACTATCAATGTCAATATCCTGGTTGTGATATCATACTATAGTCTTGCAAGATGTTACCATTGGGGAAAACTGAGTAATGGATAAATGGGATCTTTCTGTATTGTTTCTTGCAACTGCCTGTAAACCTGTATCTCAAAATTAAAAGTTTATGTAATTTTTTTAAAAAGAAAGTACATAGGACAATAGGAATGCAAATGAATGAACTACTGCTACATAACAGCAAACAAAAGAAGCCAGACACACACACAAAAATATGCCCTATTATTCCATTTATGTGAAGTTCAAATGTGAGCAATATTAAATTGACATATTAGAAGTAAAGATAGTGGTTACTGTTGGGGAGCAGAGTGAGGGAAATAACAAAGGGACAAGAGAGACTTCTGCCGTAATGGTAACATTTCATTGTTTGACTGTGGTGGTGGTAATAAATCATTAAACGGTGCACTTATAATCTGTGCACTTCTTTTGTATGTGTGTTACACATTAATAATGACTTTTATAAGTGTATTAAAGAAACAAAGCCCACAGAACGAAGAGGGATTGGGGTGGGGGTTGGGGGTAGAGCAGCCACAGGAAGGGTGAAAAGGCACTGGGTTGGGAGTTGAGAGCTCTAGGTTTCCAGTCCCAGCTTTACTACATTTACTTATTCATAGAACAGCTATTTATTGAGCACATGCTGTATGCCAGGTGTGGAGGATACGCTTGTTATGCATACATTTGTGAATAACAGAGTAGATGCCCGTAGAGATTGGAGAATACAAGTGAACACTGGGGAGGCGGTTAAAACAAAAGAAGGACCATTATGTGGACCAATGATGATGCTGTGCCATGAACTGCTGAGTGTAATCAACTCAACCCTCTTCGTCTGGAGTTTTTTTTAAAAATTAATTAATTAACTTATTTTTGGTTGTGTTGGGTCTTCGTTTCTGTGCGACGGCTTTCTCTAGTTGTGGCGAGCGGGGGCCACTCTTCATTGCGGTGCGCGGGCCTCTCACTGTCGTGGCCTCTCTTGTTGCGGAGCACAGGCTCCAGACGCGCAGGCTCAGTAGTTGTGGCTCAAGGGCCCAGTTGCTCCGCAGCATGTGGGATCTTCCCAGACCAGGGCTCGAACCCGTGTCCCCTGCACTGGCAGGCGTATTCTCAACCACTGCACCACCAGGGAAGCCCAGTCTGGAGTCTTTTTTAAAATACAAGGTCCCTCGTGGATCTCACGTTCTTGTGAGAAAAAGGCAGACAACAGGCAACCAGGTGCATAATGTCATCTAGTGACAAGTTCTACGAAGGACGATAAAGCCGCCGCTTCTTCTATAGGGAAAGTCATAAATTAAGCAAAAACTTCCAGTCTCGTACAAAACCCTATGAAGTACATCCCTTCCATCCTCACAATTTTTCAAATGATTGTCAGGAGAGTGTTTTGGCCCTCACACAGGTCACAGCAAATAAAAAAACCCAGGAGGGCTTCCCTGGCGGCGCAGTGGTTGAGAGTCCGCCTGCCGATGCAGGGGACACGGGTTCGTGCCCCGGTCCGGGAAGATCCCACATGCCGCGGAGCGGTTGGGTCCGTGAGCCATGGCCGCTGAGCCTGCGCGTCCGGAGCCTGTGCTCCGCAACGGGAGAGGCCACAACAGTGAGAGGCCCGCGTACCACAAAAAAAAACAAACAAACCCAGGACTCAAGAGAATATAGAAGGCACACTTGACTCAGGGGGCGGACGCAGAGGAGAGAACTGGAGAGCGCAGATGGGCTGCGGGATGAAATGGGGAACTGGCAACGCGGATCTAGAGATTACCACCCCAACGCACCAACCCCGAAAGCCAGCCCCCGAAGCTATTAGTAGGGAACATTTGTACAGCGCCTTCAGGTCCATTGTCTTGTTTCCTCACTATCCTGTCAAAGTGGTTTTAATTTTGTTCGTACTTTCAAAAAGCTCGGAAAAGCGCAACAACCTGCTAGGAGTCACAATGAGAGGCAGCGGCAGCGTCGTGGCTCCAAATCGGGGTCCATTTATTCCCAGTTCCTGCTCTGTGCAAAGTCTCGGAGACAAAGGCCTACCTCGCGCTGTCCCCACCCCTCTCATTTACCTTCAGCAGGCTCTGGAGAGCTGCAAAGACCTCCGCCGTCAGCGCGGCCATCTTCCCCGAGTCACGTGACCTAGCTACGCGGAGAAGCACGGTCTGGAGACTCCGACAGCAGCGCGGGGCATGCCGGGGGCTGTAGTCCTTTAGGGTGGCGGGAGCTGCCTGGCTCTTGGCACTACGGGATGGGGAGGAGCCGAGTAGGGCGCGGAGGCTGGATAGCTCAGCGCGGGCACTCTAGGACCGTGGGGTTTGGAGGACGCGGGTGCTGGATGGTTTTCGGCGGTGGGGGGAAATTGGCTTGGCTTGGCTTGGCTACTTACCAGGGCAGGGGAGACTGATTTTCTCTTGACTCGTGGGTGGGCTGGCCAATTGGGGGAATGCATTTGCAGGCTTGACAAGCGCCTTAGCTGTTCTGGAGTGATCTTCGTACCTGGCCTCTTAGAATTAAAGTAGCTGTGCACATCATTGCAATTCTTGGAATTTACCCCCAACCCCGCCTGTCTTGAAGAATGTAAAATTGATTTCATGTGTAACAGTTTCCTTTGTGTCTCTGGGGTAGGTAGGAGCTGGTATTATTAACCTTATCCAGATGAGGAAAGGGTGTTGATGACTTTCTCTAGTCCAAGGGGAGATCGGTTTTGATGAGCAGGTGAGGAAGTGTTTGGGACAAAGAGTAGACAGGGAATCCAACGAAAGATATTACCTAACTAGGTTCCTCTTACACCTATAGTGGGGATGGGAGGGATAGTTCATGGAAATGATTTAATTCATTTATTCAACAAGATAATTACAATGAATGTAAGGATGGTTTTGAGTGAGCAGTCCAGGACTCTGATTTGCCCAGTGATCAGAGGTCCTACCTCGGAACAGACTCAAACTGTAAAGTCCTGGAACTTGGTTTTACGGAACCTATCTCCTCTGCCTTCTAACCCCAGCCTCTGACATTTCCCCTATGCATCTTTAGGATCTAGTTGGTTCTTTCTTTTTCCATACCCAGTTCCTTAGCAAAATTTGGCTTGAAACAGGTTCTGATAAATTCAGGCTAGAGGAAGAATGTCTAATTGTGCGAGTTTGGGAATTGGTCGTTTGTTTTTCTGCCTCCTACTCTCCCCCTTCTTTTCTCTCTCCCATTTTCTGTGAGGATGTTGTCCAGCCCCAGGAAAATAAGCCCAGGTTGTCTGAGGATGAACCCATATCTGAACTAGAAGACTTTAGACCCACCTTGTCCTGGAGTCCTGATCCCAGCTCTCTTTCTTGGCCTCTCCCTCTTCTCTTCTTCCAGGACCACATGGCTTGATTCTTGTTTTCTGCCATAAGTCCCTGTAAGCCCTATGGTTACTCCTGCCTGTATTCATAGGGCCAGCCCAGTGCCTTGATTGAAGTAAATGTTTTCTTTTTTTTTTTTTAACATCTTTATTGGAGTATAATTGCTTTACAATGGTGTGTTAGTTTCTGCTTTGTAACAAAGTGAATCAATTATACATATACATATGTTCCCATATCCCCTCCCTCTTGCATCTCCCTCCCTCCCACCCTCCCTATCCCACCCCTCTAGGTGGTCACAAAGCACCGAGCTGATCTCCCTGTGCTATGCGGCTGCTTCCCACTAGCTATCTATTTTACGTTTGGTAGTGTATATATGTCCATGCCACTCTCTCACTTTGTCACAGCTTACCCTTCCCCCTCCCCATATCCTCAAGTCCATTCTCTAGTAGGTGTAAATGTTTTCTTAAATAAACAAAAACCCCTCAAAAGTGGTTAGACTAAAATTACTTTCTGTGACTTTTCTGCAGGGATATTACCTTATTATTTGCAGGTCTGTGCCTTCTTGTCTTACTTTGGAAAGATGGGCAGAGTGGTCACCAGCCTCCAAGATGGTTCCCAGTGACCCCTGCCTCCTGGTACTCATCCTTGTATCGTCCCCTCCCTTGTTGTGCCAGGATTAGTCTCTGTGACCAATAGCAGGTGGCAGAAGTGGTGGTATGTCACATCTAAGATTAGTTGTAAACTAATTAGTTTAACTTTTGCAATTAGTTAACTGCAGCTTCTGGGTACTCTCTTTCGTCTGCTCTCTTTTTCTTGAATCTCTTGCTCCGGGGAAAACAAGCTGCCATGTTATGAACAGTCCTCTAGAGAGGTCCATGTAGTGAGAAACTGAAGCCTCCGGCCAATAGCCAGCAAGAAACTAAGGCCTGCCAACGGCCCCATTACTGAGTTTGGAAGCAGATTCTTCAGCCCTGGTAGAGCCTTGAGATGACAGTAGCCTTGGCCAACATCTTGACTACAACCTCATGAGAGATTCTGAGGCAGAACCACCCAGCTAAAACACTCCTGGCTCTCTGGCCTTCAAAAACTGTGTGATTATGAGTGTTCGTGGTTTTAAGTTGCTAAGCTTTGAGGTAGTTTGTTACAGAGCAATAATAACTATTTCATGTAGGCAGAAAAGCATAGGGGCTTTAGAATTCAACCTAAGTTCGAATCCCACATGTAACTCTACATGTTATTAACTTAACCTTGAACAAATTCTTGAAAATTCTCTGAGCCTCTTGAACTTCAACTGAAGCTGATGTTGATCCAAAAAATGATGTTGATCACACCTACCTGCCCCAGTGGGAGGGTACCCAGCTCTCCTTGCCCTTGAGGGCAGGCATGAAAGGAGAGGAAACCCTGGGCTCCATCAGTGCCAGGCAGGGCCTGCAGCCCTGCACCAGGTCATCCCATTGTTCTAGGACTGCCCGCATTGCCACTGCCATGTTGCATCTAAAGGTTTGTCTATGGCCTGGAGAGCTTCCAGCAATTCCTCAGCCATAAACATTTACGTGGGAAAGAACAGAACAGAATGTTAATTTCCATGATTTGGTCTCACTACCTGGGTTTTGTTAGGCCTTGTCTGATTTCTTTCCAATTCTGGGTATATGGATGTGTGCTTGCTTTCATTTATGTAATAAATTTGTATTATTAACTAAATGTATTAAATAGATTTATTTAATAAATATACCACACTCCATTTTAAGGCTCTTACATTTAATGATTTATTTACTTCCTATAACAATCCTGTGTGATACACACACACACACACACACACACACACACAGAGTACTATAATTTTCCCATTTTACATATGGGGTAACTGAGGCACAGAGAAGTTAAGTAACTTGTCCAAGGTCACACAGCTAAAATTTTGGCAGAGCCCAGGTTCAAACTTGAGCAGTTTGGTTCCAGAGTCTGTGCTGTTAACCACCAAGCTCTACGTGTCTCCTTGTCTTGCTATAGCTGAAAACTCATGCTTCTTCTGTCTGGATGTGTGACTACCTTCTCCAGGAGGCAAGAAAAATCTAATGGTATTCATGGACAATCAACCCAGTGGTATGGTAAGAGAAAAGATGATGAGTGGAAGGCGTAACTTGGGCTTTGGAAAAAGATCAAGGTTCAATTTCTGGCTCCTGTGTGCTTCTGGCGAGTTATTTCATCGCTGAACCTCAGTTTCCTCATCTGTAAGTTAGGAACAACGATAATAAAAATACGTTTGACCATTAGAGGGAGCTCAGGGATGACTTGTACCCAAAATGGGGATGGATTATTTATATCGAGACTTGGTTCTAGCCACTGGCAGCACTGAAGGGTAGAGCTAGCCAGTGCTCTTGGAAAGAGTTGGCATTAGGGTGATCAACCAACCATCTCAGTTTGCCTGGGACAGGGGACTTCCCGTGCCAACAGTGGGATAGTCCTGGGTAAACCAAGCTAGTTGTTTACCCTCGTTTGAGCCCTGTGCCTTTGAGGAAACCATCCTTTTAGAGCTCTTGTCCTGTCTTCTCCAGTGGGGCTATGGTGAAAAGAGTGACATGGATAAAGAGTTTCTTTTTAATAGAAGGTAATTAAGGGCAGCAATCTTAGTTTTGAGGTTCTTTCTTTGGTAATGACTTTACTGAGATGTAATTCACATATACAATTTACCCACCTACAGTGTAACAATTCAATGGATTTTAGTGTATTCACAGAGTTATGTAACCATAACCAATTTTAGAACATACTTTATCACCCCCAAAAGAAAAACTCTACCCTTTAGCTATCATCCTGCCAACTCTCTTCATCACACCCAGCCCTAGGCAACTTTTAATCTCTTTTCTATACCTCTAGATTTGCCTAGTTCTGGACATTTCATATAAATGGAATCTTATGAAATGTGGTCTTTTAATTAATTTCTTCCACTCAGCCTAATGTTTTCCTGGGCTGTCCTAATGTTCTTATGGCCTGTGTCAGTGCGTCATTCCTTCTGACTGTTGAGTAATTTCCATTGTGGAAACACCACATTTTGCGTATCCATTCATCATTTGATGGACATTTGGGTTGTTTCTGCCTTTTGGCTATTGTGAATAATGCTGCTGTGAACACTGTCAGACAAGCTTTTGTGTAGATTTATGTTTTCATTTCTCTTGGGGTATATACCCAGGAGTGAAATTGCTGGGTCATATGGTAACTCTGTGTTTAACTTTTTGAAGACTTGCCAGACTGTTTCCCAACATGGTCGCACCATTTTTCATTCCCATCAGCAATGTCTGCGGGTTCCAATTTCCCACATCCTTACCAACACTTGTTATTATCTGTCTTTTTGATGATACCATCCTAGTAGGTGTGAAGTGGTATCTCATCATAAGCAATCTTGTTTTGAAGTTGCGTTTGCATGGTAAGCACTTTTGGTCACTTAGACCTATACTTATGTTCATTGGAGGTGACTGATGGAGATTATGGGGGCTTAAGCCCTCAGTCTGCCCTTTATCAGAGGAATGCCAGCAGTGGGTGGATTGGCCAAGGGACCATGGTCTTTGAGGGAGAGCCCCCCTCATTTCCCTGGTTTCCCTTTTCCTCACCCCCATTTCGTGGACTGAGGTGAGGACAGGTATCCAGGGAGACCGGGCTGCTCGTCATTTTTGATCTTACACCGCCTGCTCCAACTCAAGGAGGGCTGTGAAGTGGCCTGATCAGCTCACCGGAGGCTGCAGGCAAACAGAGGCCAGTAGATCTGAAAACGACAGGCGTGCCCTGGCTGGGGAATGCCCTGTGTG